CTCGTCTCCTTGACTCTTCATATACTTAGCATTGTCTCGCCAATAAACGCCAGTGTTTCGGCAACATCTCATATCATATTGTATAATTTCTTTTCAAAGGTTCGGATTTCATATGATGCTTTTGAAGACAACTGTACAAAATCATCCACTTATGTTTATATGGAAACCGCATTTTACCATGTAAACAAACATATGATATTTAATTTCCGGAAATAATTTTAAAATCCGGCTAGATGGATTTACAACCATTCGCGTGATAACGTCGTAACAGGTTTGCGTTTTATAAGCCGAACAGCATTAAATATTTGTGTAAGTTGTGAAATCAACAGAAAATAAGCCAAATGATGAAATTAAATTGTAACCCCAGCAGAAATTTAGTGAGCAGCATACACACTAAATACTCCTTTCAGTTCCGGATCTCCCGGTGCGGTGTACTAAAACGGTTTGGCTGGGAGCCTGTCAAAAACGAAATGCAGAGAAACCCGGTGTCATAAGGATATTTCTGTATTTTTTCTTATCTGCGTTTTCTACGCGAATACATGTCTAATGTACAGACAGTGGAGATTTTCGCTGAAACTTTTTTTCCTGTTAATACGACCACGATTAGATCGCTGCCCGTTTGTGAGTATTTGGAAGTCCTCCTTCCGCCCCTAGATCTACGAAATTCTGTTAGATTCAAGACATCAATACTTTACTTGAGCAAAGCAAATAATTTAGGGCCCGCGACCAGGTATAATTTGTTCGCGGGTGTTCGCGAGTGAAAAAATTAAGAAATCCGTATCTTGTCCGCACACCCAACGAATACTGTGTCACTAATTATTGTGAGCTCTTGTTCTCTATGTGGTGTCATACAACTATTGACCGCACGTGTCCGTGGATCCCCCGTTCTATATTTGGCGCATTGGAGACTTTTGAGAGCCGTAACCTCGTTAATATCGACCAATGAAACGTGTGCGGTGTTCTCGCTGTACCTGTATCACCAGATGAAATTTATGGCGGCTACCACGTACGATGAAGCTAGAAACGGACAGGGGAGGCAGATCATTTGTGTGGCATAACGACACGTCTAGATAGTTATGTTCAATAGGTTACGATCAAGGCACAGCGAGTTTTACATTGGTCGATAAGCGACAGCGGTCACTCGCTAGGAGAGGACACCTGGTCGGTTTTATCACCGTGTGGCGACTACACGAGATATCGAACATTACATGGCAACGTACAAGTGCCTCTTCTGTTTCTTTTGTGTGCACATCTACAGACTGGGAATGCCAGCTTATTTATAAGTGACGCAAATTTTCACAAAGCGTAATTATTGATCTTTTTGTATCTAAACACGTCGCTCCTGACAGACGACATTCGTTATAGGCGTATTACACTGAAACACAACGACACATGCCGTATGGTCAGATTGTCAAGTGACGTCACAAGCCGGTGCACAATGTGATATTAATAGATTTTCACGTGTCATGGATTTTATACGTTAAATCTGTGGAGCTTTCGTTAAGTGTTTAAAATACTACATCGGAGGACCTTTACGCTCACACATACAGACACGGGAACCATTGGCAGGTGCTAGAGCTCTCTAATGACAGAATGTAAGCCACTTTGACAGCACACGCAGCTCCGCCGAAACTATGGTTACAGCTTTACCATGCTACTGTAGGTGTAGAAAAGGATCTCCACTCCGTACATGTGTTGTAAGCCGAGATTGTCAACTTGTATTTACACCAGAAGTCTATCTGAGGAAACCCTGGGGTAAGTCAGATTTCTGTAACTCAGGTGCTGAATGTGTTAGTTTACAGATGTAGTGATTTTTAACAACACATCTACACTGACATGTCAGAGAGCTTCTGTCGTGAGACAGCCAATTTATTTTGAGAAGATAAAATAATTTTTTTAAGAAAACAGACTAAATCTAGTTTAGAGAGTGCAGAAACACGTTTCTTTCAATATGTATTGTCATAGTGATGAATTGTTTGTGTCTCTGAAAAAAATATCGTATTTTACATTATTAACTGAATTAAAATCTTAGTACCATGTATAGATGTAGATAGAAAATGTATAGTCAGGTTGAATATCTGACTTCACCTGTCTTGAATCCCAAAAATGAATTTCGAATGATTGGAAAATAGATATTTTCAAAAATTTTTTTTTTGGATTGTTTTTGTCTCTTCAGAAGACAAATGTCATGAATTTATTGTATGTTCATGAAATGTTTGATATTTTTGAGGTATCGTAGTTAAATGACTTCTCAATTGATCAGAGTTTGAAAAGATACACAAATTATATTAGTTTGACCTATTAGATACAAATTGTCTTAAGTGTTTCCCAGTTGCTAAGTGGAATCTGGAATCCGTTAACTTGCAAATTGATCCTAGAAAAAAATGTTTGATAATTGTCAGCTTACGGGTTCTGAACAATGGGATGGGTTGTCTCCCTTCATTCAGAAACAACATTATCAAAGCAGAGTATTATTTGTTTTGTAGGCCTGCCTTGTGTGAACGTTTCCCCTAAAGAGTTAACTCACGTCCAGTTAATAATGAGAGAGATAGGAGAATTATGGTAAGAATTAATTTGCCAATACTCTCCACGGGTCATGACATGAATTTCCGAGCCCTCTGTCTTATTGCCTTAATTAATGGATAAGTATGAAAGGTATTGAATACCGTGTTGTTCATAAGAGATCACTACTGTCAGTAAATCCCATGTGATTGTCTTTGTTGTGATTGGCTAACTTTGTGGATAAGAAATTGGCAACTCTGCGTTTTATAAATTGTCATTATTTTTCCAATGTACTTGACCGATTATATAGTTATTTTCTATATAGAAATACTTCATGAAAAAATTAAGCATTTGTCTTACAGGTGGTTAAGTTTGTGGGGTATAAAAAATATCAGATTTAATAATTTTCTCATCGTTTCTATGTCAATCTGAAAAATTATGTACGTTGATATTTATAATACACAATGATTTGGACTATGGTGAATAGGGTCGCTAATTTGTGTTGTTAAACACTTTTACACTCCATATCTAACATAGTAGTTTTGGTAATTTATTAGATGGGTAAGGGTAGCTAGGAGTCTACAAAATCATCCCCCAGAAAAAAAATGTACATTAAAGTTTTTTTTTTTAAATTAGAAGATAGGGATGGATTGATACAGTATACTGTTAAGTCACCTAATCACATATCTGTGTTATACAAATTTATATACTCTAGTGACCTCTCGCTGTGTAAGGGGACTCCCTACCAGTAATAGGGAAATTCCTTCTGACCAGGCTTGACAGCAAGTGATTACTGTTCTACACAGAATGTAAATATTCAGCATTTTAGCATTTTGGTAATCTTTGCCTAAACTCTCCCTTACACTCCCCCCCACCTCCCTTCCCACCCACCCACCCACTCACACACATAACATATGTATATTGTACCCCATATATTCAAAATATTACTTAATTGTTTCTGTGACTTTGTGGATTCGAGGCAAAGCATTAAAAATGGCATAGTTCATAACTTTGTAGGGCGGTGAAGTAATTTTAAAGCAACCTTTTTAAACCTTGTAATGACAGAAACAGACAAATCAAGCTGAAGCAAGGCATAAATACAGTTTAATTTAGGCATACTAAAATTTCATTTGTGAATAAAGCAAATAAAAAGTGGAAGTCTTGTTGTATTGATAAAAATCTGATTTTAGTATTGATTGGCTGATTTCGTTATAGTAGCGATTGGTTCATTCTGTTTGCATTGCAGCATTGTTGTGTCTGTGTAGTTGTTTTATACAAAATTGTTCTTCTTAATTCTGGTAACAGAATTCCAAGTTATACTCTGCAAACTAAACTCAATTTGAATATGAAATATTCTTTTATTGAGTAAGAAAATACATATTCTTGTATAAATGAGTGAAGTAGTAGTTTTTTGTAATCAATTAACAGCGGGATACAGCTTGCACCACAACAACGTTTGTGTCATGTTCATATAAGGGAAGTAACTCTAATCTCAGTCACCCAGCCGCATGGTCCCTTTGAATAAAATTCCTGATATGATCGACTGAAACAATTTCTTCACTGGAGTTCTGTTTCCATGATAAGGACCAGTAAATTATTTATAGAGGTATGGGAAGGGAGGTAACTCTGTTTAAAATAGATTTCCCAATTTTTTGAAGAGCTACACTCAAGTGCTAGTGGATGCTGAGATGTGTACTCTTATAAACAGTTCACCAGACCATTTGTCAGAAAAAAATATGAGAATGCATATGTATGGTTACAGGAACAGAGGACATTTTAGGAAGATTATGGTATTTCTATAAGTACGAAAGAAGGAAAGAGACGTTAATGCCATTGAAGGTCCAAATTTACCCAAATTTATTTTTTCAGACGTGGAAACTTTCAATTTTATCCAGTGAGGTTTTCTTAAGATGTTGTAAGATTGATTCTATTATGATCGAAAAACAATATTTGGAAAGATAGGGGATTGTCTGTTCAAAAAAGTCTGTAGTGGTATTGTCTTTATACATTACATATACCGTGCAAACAGAGCATATCAGCTGTAAACTTTTGGTGCCAACAAAGCTACTCCAAGGCATTCAGCTTGTAGCTGCATATATAGATTTTTAAAGATGATTGTTAAATTATTGAACTTAGGACTGTAAATCTTCTATGTTTTGTGTGCTGTAAGACTTCAATTTGGGATTGAATACAATATAATTTCTGTCTTGATCAATATTACATTTTTGTTCGTAGAGTTCATATTTTCACCAATTTATATATTAAAAGTTTTAATCAATATACTTATATAGAAATTTCTTTGATTATCTACATGTACACAATTGTTGATCAATAATATCTCATTGATTCATCTACTGCTTGAAATTTTCTATAACATAAAAGTAAACCAGACATCTAATGCATAATATTATATTTGATTTCACTCACTGAACAGCTGTGAGTCAAAGTTATCCTGGTGTGTTGTGTGTTTCAGGGTGGATGCAGTTTGACTCATCAACATGGTGTCGGAGTGGATAGCCTGTCTAGATAAAAGGTAATAAGACAAAATTGATTTTTCCATGCTGATTATGACTGTGTCATAGTAGGAGGGATGCACTTTCTTTTACAAGGTTCCTTCCTGTCCTGGTTCAAGTGCTTATTTGTACAGCTGTGTAGACTACCAATGGCATATTGTTCAAGGATGCACTAAGGAGTGTCATTCCTAGTGCTTACTAGGAATTAAGTTAGCATAATGTTTTAATTTCGTCACTGAATGTTGAAATTGAAAGGGTTCAGTTTTAAAGATTATGTTGATGAAAATTTGAAAGTTTACCTAACCTGACATTTATCTGAAAAGACAAATCATTGATATCAAGGAGTGAGATCCATCAGTTTGGTACAGATAATCACAAAATTTCAGGTTTAAATCACTTTTTGTCCACAAAGATAGGCATCTTCTAAACTAAAATTTGATTGACTGTTCGACTGTTTAAGAAAGAGCTCCAAAGATTGTTGCTTTACACTAAAAATAGTTTGTCTCGGCACTTGACAAACAATATATTATTGATAAGCATTTAAATGTTTTGGTTCAGTGTGTAATAGAGATTTATTTTTTTGAACTCTGTGCCACGACAAGGAATAATACTGTATTAAACTATGCAGTTTAAGTCGTAACGTGATCCGTACAATTTTGATGTACTATACATCATTGGCACTATAATATTTTTTATATTCCAACAGGATATTTGTTGCTGGACTTCAGACAACTTTCTGTACTTTCAATGTTAATATGTAGAGACAGAATATTGATTGTCCAATGTCATCAGTATTCCTATTTTTAGTGTGTTCTTTGTGATCTGGATGTCAGTTTCACAATAGACATCATTTCTACATTATCTTGTGTCAGAGAATTCTAAAACTAGCATTTTAGCACTGATGCCAGACATGGCAACTAGCAGGATTTGTCCTCTTAAAATTCTGATGTGTCATGTGGTTTATACACATTTATATTGTCAGATGTAAAGAGTTTGCCAGACATTGGTCTGAAGACAAGGATTCCGCAGAAAAATATGAACATTACCTAATATGGTCAATTTTCGGGGCTACTTATTTCCATTGAAAAAATATACCAACATATCAACAGATTCAAGGTCATTGTTAAGGCACTCGTAACAAGTTCTTCTGATTAACAAAAAGTCCTAGAACCATCATACTTTGCCGATAAATTCCTAGGATTAAGCTTGACAAAGTTTGGGAATAGGAATGACCTTGATCCATCTTCAAGAGCAAGCGTAAGGTTTGTCATACAGGAAAGGATTTATCAGCTGCAGTATATAAATAAATGTTATCTTTATTTTGAAAAAATATTTATGACAAAGGACCTCGTCAAATTATTGAAATGTTATCATTTATCCTACGTAGAATTATTTATAACTAAATACTCTTAATGTACAGCAGCATATGATATACAGAAGGCTTGGCCAGAACTTTTCCGCCAATTTGACTAAATCTTCTCTCATACTTTGCTCCGTAGTGTATGGAACCAGCTATCAGGTGCTGATCTGGTGAACTGTACTTAAAGTATTACGTCAAAATGCCACAGATTCATGATACTGCAGCTGTGGACATATCTCAACAATGTCTACGTATCTGAAAACAAGAAACAGAGGCAATAGTACAAACTCTGTATATTATACACATATATAACGGCGATATCGCTTATCGACTATATGTGCTTACGACGCCATGATCACAGAACTATATATATATATATATATATATATATATATATATATATACAGACAGTCTGTAATATACAACCAAAGACTTGAATTTGTCGATAAATGTTATACGTAAGAAGATAGTGTTTAAGAGCCTTTGTTTAACTGCAGTACATTTTTATGGTAGCTCTATGTGAGTGACTGAGGATGAATGATGTCAGCGTGTTATGCTGTTCAAAAACGATTAAAGTGTTACCAGATTATGAAATATTTGGTCCAATGTTTGCACATGCGTTTATCAGACCGACCTAAATTTTACTGGATGATTGTCCAACAGTCTGAAATAATATGACAAACACTGTATGTCTTACTTCATATCACACAACTAAATAGAATATTTTCCAAAGAAATAATTATGACAAATGAAAAAATTTTCCAATTATCTTTATCAACCTGCATCTGTCAAAAATTTGGAAATAAGTTGTTGAATCTTGAATCAACACAGACATACAAACACCATTGGTAGGGAATGTAGACATGTCACTATCTGGAAATGGAAAATTCACATAGTAAAATTGAAATCATTATGCTTATCATACAAATTGGTAAAAAGCTGTCTTGATTGATTGACAGGTTTTCTGTCTCTGTGACTCCTATTGTGTCTGGGTATTGTCTCACCAGCGAGTGTCAATGTTCTGGCGAGGCATTAAAGCTGCCCTTTTAAATTTTGAAGCTTAATCTTAATCCTTGATTTCCTGTTTCCACATAAAGATGAACTGATGAAAATTGACATGAATTTTAGTAATAGTGGAATTAGAAAGATATATCTACAAAATTTGTCAATAAAAACGCATATATATAACCTTGACTTATATAAAGGGGGTGTATAGTAACCATTTTATTAATTGTGTATCTGGATTAGCATCTGTGATTAACTCTGTGCAAGATGTTTCTTTGACCCAATGGACAGAGATTTAATCCATATTCACATGAGAGTTTCACCCCACCCAGGTGTACACTTTGTAAAGGCATTGGATACAAGATATTTTCTGAACCCCTTAGTAGATTAATCCAGCATGATCAATAGATTTAGATAAAAAGTTGATGGTGTGTGGATGATATCTATGTAAGCCTCTGCTCACTTCCTTTTAATGAATGAACATTTCCAGATTTCAAATGTTTGATTAAGTATAATACTGAAAAGTCAGAAAAATGAAATGACCCAGTTTGTATATTATATTGGTAACATAATTTGTCGAGTTGTTTCAATCTTACAGAGTTTCCTGGCAGGGACCAGAAAAGTAATTAAATGAAATCAAGTATTGATCACCGCTGCTAGTCAATTCGGAGTCAATCAGGAATTTATACTAGATTTTAACCATTACAAGTATTTCTCATGGTACAGCTCCGAACATCGTGAATAAAAAAAAGGTTTCCTCTAGGCAATTGATTTTCATGAGATATCTGTAGTTTTAAATGTGATTACTGGGTATACACACAGGTTGAAATGTGAAAAGTCACTGTTGGCCTGATAAACATTTGGCAAACACATTGATTTGTACTTCTTGATTATTGAATATCTCTGATTTTAATAGGAAATAAGCCCTTGTGTGGTAATAAGCCCATGTCTATTGCTGTCTGCTGACAGTAAAGTGCTGTAAAAGTGCGAGTAATTTTTCGGTAAATGGAAGTACTAAAACCTTACTGTGAATACTCGTTATCAAATTATAAGCTTTTAAGAGTTTGCCAACTTACAATTTTGAATAATAGATAATTGTAGAGTGTGTATATGTTTATGTGCTTTGCTTAGTTAAAAACAAATTGTCAAACTATATTGGAAATTATAAAAGTTGAAGTTCTGTTTTCTAACCTTAGAGAGGTTTCAGTGATATGAATAGAAGCTAGTATACAAACTGAATTATGACCGGTAATTTGAATGCTAGGAAGCTGTTTACTGCATCAAACAATAAAATCTCGGATGATTCAGTGGCATCGATTAGCAGTTACATTTAACCACAAAACTGATAAATTGTGACTGTTGATCCAAGGGACATAAAACAGAAGTCCTGAGGAATAACAGTAGCTTAAGTATCAATACTAGATTAACATGTAGGAAAGCTCTGATTACCTAAACTTGTAGACCTGTCATTCCTGTGCAGGCCGGGATTGATTCAGACTGACCTTGGGGTGTGTAATTTAAGAAACAAACACTCGGTGTACATATATATACATATATATATATTTAACTGTGCTAGCTGTATCATTAAGTTTTCTGTGAGAAAACTGATAACCATAAATCTCTTTGTCTACTGTCATGCTTAATTTAGAGATATTGACTTATAGCGTATTACACAGACTGCTGTAGTAGTATATCTCTTACAGCTGAATTCTAGATAACAATACATTTTGTGAGTCTGTTTTTATCTGATAATCCCCTAGCTATCTGGTGAAATGTGTGTTTGTCAATAGTTCATTATACAATGATAGCTGTATTTCATTGGCTGAGCCAGTCAGAAATAGATTGTGATGTCATATAAAGCCTGTCAAAACGTAACTTTTCCGAGTTTAGTGATAAAAAGTTTCTTAACATTGCTTTTATTTCATATAGATTTGTATAAAAATTCACTTGAAGTTTTTGTTTTTGCTTGTAAAAAAAATATCAGAGATTTTCTCATGAAAATCTCATGTTCAACGAGAACCAACACAAGATCCTATGTATTTTATTTATTTATTTAAAAGAACTGTTCTAAATTCTTGTAGGGATTAGTATATATAGCATTTCATAAATTATCTTATTAAACTCTCAACATCTCTATAATATTCCATTAAACTTACAAAAAATCAACTGTACTATTTAACTCCTTGTAACTGTACTAATCTCCTGATAACTGTACTTAACTCCTTATAACTGTACTAAACTCCTTATAACTCCACTTAACTCCTGATACCTGTACTAAGCTCATGATATCTGTACTAAGCTCCTGATAACTGTACTTAACTCCTTATAACTGTACGAATCTCCTGATAGCTGTACTAAGCTCATGATATCTGTACTAAGCTCCTGATAACTGTACTTAACTCCTTATAACTGTACGAATCTCCTGATAGCTGTACTAAGCTCCTGATAACTGTACTAAACTCAAGAAACTGTACTAAACTCCTTATAACTGTACTAATCTCCTGATAACTGTACTAAACTCCTGATAACTGTACTAAACTCCTTATAACTGTACTTAACTCCTGAAACTGGATTAAACTCTGTATAACCAGTAAACCCCTGATGATTGTACTTCACCATGATAACTGTACTAAACCCCTGATGATTGCACTTCAC